GTGGCCCCTTGTGGCATGTAGTAGTTTAGAAAGTTTAGTGTCCTTTTTCTTTTGTAGAGAAGCAAAGTGTGTGTTGTAAATGGCTTGTCTAGTTTTAGTAAAGTCCAGCCACGAGGAAGTTTGTGTGGAAGGTTGTTTTTTTATGAGAGTATCCATTTTTGAGAGCTCATTCTTAATCTTTCCCTGTTTGCTGTAAAGGATGTTGATCAGGTGGTTCCGCAGTTTCTTTGAGAGCGTGTGGCACAAGCTGTCAGCATAGTCTGTGTGGTATGTAGATTGTAATGGATTTTTTACCTTCAGTCCTTTTGGTATGTGATGTTTGGCTGTGATGTTTACCAAACCCTGACTTCAGTGGTTTAGGAACTACCCAGTGTGTTGGGTCATAAAATAGCCCAGCGAGCCTGCTGAAGACCTCTCTTAAGAGGGCTACAGTGCGGATGACCCCAAGTAACTGCCTTTATTAAGGTGGTTCCATCCAGCCTCTCACAGTAGAATATTGCCCCATTTTTGGTAAGGGTTTAAGTCTTCATTTGAAAACATACCTGGGTTCAAATAAAGCACCGAGGTGAGCCTAATATCTCAGACTTTCTTTAAATGGCCTATTGAGGTATGCAGTGTTGGTGCAGTCCTGTTGGTCCCAGGATATTAGACAGACAAGGTGGGTGAGGGAATATATTTTATTGGACCAACTTCTGATTTCTTACCTGATTTCCAGGTAACTTTCCTGATTTTTTTCTTCTTCCGATGCTGGGAGCCTGTGGTGATTTCTTGCTGGGGGGGGGGGGGGGCTCTGTCCTAGGTGAGATGCAGAAAGTGGTTCCTCAGTTTCTCCCAAGTCCCTCTGCAGCGCTGCTCAGCATATTTGGAGTTGTATGCGGTGCCCAGAGGGTTATAGGTGGCGCGACCTTTCTGCGGATGAGGTTTGGTTTCTTGCATTTGCTCAGGGAGTAGCTGTGGCTGTTAAGTTTCGCTTCCCTTTTCTTCATGTTGGGGCTTTTCCATTTCATCCCTGGGTCCAACGGAAGATGTTACTGGCCCGCCTTGTGGCTAAAGGGCGGGAAGGGACTTTCACGTGTGCCAGTCAGGGCGCGCGGGCTGGCGCTGTGGAAGTTTGCCAGCGGTGCCCAGCGTGGCTCAGTGATGGGGGGCGGTTTTGTTTGCACCAAGGAGCTGCTGCGGTGTGAACCCCGCAGGGGCTGCCCAGGCACAGTCACTCCGGCGGGTCAGCCAGCCACTGTACACGGCGCTGGACAGTTTTCCGCCTGCCCCTCGCAACCCGCGCCCAGCAGCTCTGAGCACAGCCCCTTGCACACTCCGCGGCGCGCTGGAGCCCGGCTTTGGTCAGGGCAGAATAAGCGACCAACTGGCTTCTGCTGTTGACATCCAGTACCGGCCCCGCCAAAGAACCAACATCCCCCCCACGCACCCCCCCACTCCAACGCACAATCCCGAGCCGCCTCTGGCACAGCTCCCGGGCTCCTGGCAAGCCCATCCCGGGGCTGTCCCCTTCGGGGCTGTGGGGCTCTCCAGGGAGAAGCCAGGCCCACACTCACTCCCCTGGGAAAGTCAGAAAGAACGGGCTTGCTGCTCCCGGAGGGAGGGGCTGAGCTCCTGCAGGCCCGGGACACCTCCGTGGGTGGGACTTGGCCGTGCTCAGGATCGGGCCCAGTAGCGCCTGTGCAAACTCAGGGTCACTGTTATTTCCGCCTTGTTTCTTTTGCTTGCAGTAACAGAACCTAAACCCTGAAGCGTTCGTGTTCCGCTCAGTGTGAGCCCTGAACACAAGCCAAGGGCACCCTCAATGAAAGCTTCCTGCCCTGGTCCTGAGGGACCGACCCCGTTAATAGCTGTGAATGGTTGACCCTCCTTGACTTTAGTCCGGGTAGTTAGATCCCTGAATATAGGAGCCTGCCGGCACTAAAGTAAAAGGGCGTTTGGGCACTGGCTTCAGGATTGGGCCCTTCATGGTATGTCTGTAATGAGAGTTTGTGTATGTGTGTATTGGGGGGGGGGGGGGGGAGTCCACAAAGGACAGAGAAAAAGGCCTTATTTGTCTATTCCTCTGGATTTATAACTTTAAATCTCCTATGTTTGTACTGTTTGTATATGTAATGCACGTTTTGATTAAATAACGTGTGTATCAAGTATTTAAAGGCCTCACCAACAAAATAAAAAATAGTCTCATATTGTAAGAGAATAATTACAAATGAGCTACGAGGCAAAAGCGACTAAAAGACAAACTGGAGTTAAGGGGAAGGGTATCCAGTTTTCCTGGTCAGATAACCGAGCACAATCTTGCGTTAGGAAAATCTAAGTGTCACTTTTGGAGAGTTTAAAATAGAAACGCTCCTTGTCTTTGGAAGCGCTGAAAAGTGTAAGAGAGGTCAAGGAGATTTCCCAAGCAGCTCATAATTTCTGCTCACGCTTTTCTTCTTAGTCTGATCAGAGATATAACGTTGGAAATAAGGAAAAGAAAAAAGCAAACGTCTGAGTTAATATGCCATAACATTTTCAGCCCTCCGACTTCACCACCCTGGCCCCTGGCATACCCACTTTGTAGGCTACTGCTCTACTCCTTCCCAGCCTTCTCTGTCAAGCTGAACCTGGACAAAATCCCATCCTGTTCTGGGATGCAGAACTACAATTCTGTGGCAGAAAAGAAGAAAATAAACAAGTCTAGTGGTGTAAAAAGTTGTCTTGCGGTTGCCTGCAGCTGGTGGTTAACACAGACTGTAAGAGGATCAACTCCATCTCCGCGGGCGAAGGGAAGAAAAAAGGAAGGTGGGGGGGAGACCTCACATTTGCTATTCACAGTTTAGTTAATTTGGATGATAACGGTTAGTTTTTAATCCCATTGTATGAGACTGAATATACTACAAGCGTCCCAAAAGAATATCTACTGCAAACAGAACACCACACTGGAGTGTCTGAGTTTGAATCTAGTCTGGCATACAAACATTTGGGAAGATGCAGTTAAAGAATTACTTCGAAGTTTTAATACTGAACAGTTCTAAACTCTTTGCGTGCAAACCTCAGGTTTGATCGTTGGACTTTAAGTCTATTTGACTATATTGCACTGAGGGAGGGGGTCACCATTGCTCAGATACAAGGACAAGAATCTGTATTTACAGTTAGTGTTATCCCTGTAACTTACATGGAAAGATCAGATGGGTCAGGTTTTCCACACTTAAAACTACAAAGAAATAGAAAAAACAAAAACAAAAAAACCTGCAACATGCTAAAAAGAAAAGAGAAGTGGATGTTTGGAAGAAATGTCCTGGAGCTGATAGGACTGGAATAAATGGCATCTTTATAATGTTTCTCTGGGGACTGCAACAGTTCCCAGATGGGCAGGACTAAACATTGGAAAGACAGCTCAGCCCCTAGCACACATCTCCTCAGTGAAAGTGATGTTTTTATTTCCTTCTGCGGGTATAGTCACAATCCAGAGTTGCTTTAGTTAGTAAATGTGTAAAGTTGGCTACTTTGGGGTGGGGGGGGAAGTCCCTATGCAAAAAGCAAGGGAGGTGGCAAGAAGCCGTGAAAGAGCCGTGGAAACGCGCTCAGAGGCTGTGGAGATGGGGGGGTTCCTAGCCTCCTTTCAGCTAATTTCCTCTGGTTTCTGTTTGTGTGTTTTCGATATTTTCCTCTTAAACCCTTTAAAAAGAGCGAGATCAACTTCCCCAAACTCTCCCATCCTCCCTTTCTCCCCCCCCCCCGGGACAAACACTGCTATCCCCCCGAAAAGGAGTTCTCTGCGCTCTCGAGGCGAGAAACGCGGCTGCCAGAACAGAGGCCATAAAAAAAAGTTAACAATGCTGTGAAAATATGTTTGCAGAAAATAGACAATTGTTGGATTAAACGTATTCAAGTATGAAATAATGCCTTTTTGTGTAAAAACTTCAGCAATGTGCGTGTACAAAAGTTCCCTGTGGCAGTTACTTGCTCCCTTTGTGAGCTGTGCGCTTTGGCGTCTCCACTTGGCGCATTTAACTCAGAGCCCTTTAAACGCGATTGTTTCTTTCTTTTTAATGACATTTACCGGATCAAAACATGCTGTTAATTCGATCAGAAAGCTTTACCCTCCCGAACAATGCCACAATAATTTCTCCTGAAGTTTGTTAAATTGACCAAAATTAGGCAAATGAATAGGGGGTCTGTAGGCGACTCCTCTTGCAGGTGACACCGAATAATGCACTTTCAGACCAGCTGCGATCTCCTCTTTATTTGCCCCTCTTTTCTTTGACCCGCATTATTAAAATTTAGGCCCAATGAAACTATTCATACATTTCAATGGGACATTTTCCTATAGGATAATAGGCTACAAATTGAGCCTCTCCAAAGGGGGAATAAGGGGGGTAAAACAACAACACACAGACACACACCACACAAAAAGGACCGTCGTGTGCCAAAGGCTCGCGGGAGCCTCCCTGGGCCTGCAGAGGGGAGGAGGGGGAAAAAAGGGGGGGATCGTGTGCCAGCCCCCAGTCCCACACCTGCCGGGATGTCCCAGCACATAAAGCGGTGTAAACAAAAACCCTCGCTGCCATCTCTCATAAAGATGGACGTGTCACCAAGTCGTGTGAGAAAAGCCTGAGAACAAACGGGGCCACTCCGTCTCCAAGGGCTCTCCCTTGAACTGGGCGGAACAGCCTATTAAGGGCTTACTTAATTACTTTAATGACTCTGGACAGGCTTTAAAATGCAGTCAGCGCTTGGACAGGGGAAGGGAGGGGGGCTGCCTGGGATTTGTAAACAGGCGATCGTGTGAGAGACCAGGCGCTTGGAACTAAAGAAGAGAGCTTGTGTTCACACGCTGCTAGCGCGCCACTGCGCTCTGCTTACTGCTCCCCTTAGTCCTGTTGCCATGCAAATGTTATTCTGGGGGCGATCACGTGTCCTTTGAAGGTCCACGTGGAGTAACAAAGCTGATCTGCCCCCTGCTAGCCCCCTTGACTGAAAAAAAAATTTTTTTTTACTCCTTTAAAACTGATCTTTAATGCATACATTCCCCAAACTGCTCTCCCTAATCCTAGGGAATCAGGCAAGCTGTGAATACACCGTGTCTCCCCCCAGAAATGATCGCTTTATAAGCAGCCTTTTGGAGGTTAGGGGGCTGCAGTGCACCTGAGACACTTGAGAAGACACAGAGGTTCCCTTCTGCTAGGCTTTCCCCAGCGGTGTGTCTTCCCAGGATGGCCTCTAAACTAAAGGAACGGAAAGTAAGTTGGAGCTAATCCTTGCGCACTGGGGCTGCCGGCTGCTTTCCCAGCCGCGACAGAATGAAGGTTTATTTGTAGGCTTTTCAAAAAACCCTGGGCTCGTGTCTGGTTTGGAACTTAACACTCAGGCCGATCCTCAGCAAGAGCACTGCCGTGGAGATCAGGTTTGGAGGGGGCCTCCCCGGTGCAGTCAAGCAGGGCTGGAGGAGTGCTCGTTTCTGGGGACAAAATGAGCCTGGCTCTTAAAAAAAAAAATCTAGTGAAAGTTATATACGAGCGTCTTAGTGAAGGTCAGATCAAATGTCTGACGTTAGAATAACTTTTTTAAAAGGTGAATATCTCTGGATAAAACTAGAAACCAAAGGCTGTGGGGAGTTTCTCTTTGCGTTTTGGGGTGATGTCTGCTCATGTTTCAGACTCCTTCTTCCATGTGTCTGTCTGCACATTGTGTGTTATAGAGGACTCCAGTGTCTCACAAAGTGATTGAGAAAAGAAGGAGGGATCGGATCAATCGCTGCCTCAATGAATTGGGGAAGACCGTGCCCATGGCTTTGGCAAAGCAGGTATGCTCCCGCTGCTGGCTAGAGCGCTGAAAAGTGCCGGCGTTACCAAGGGGGACGTGCCACATAGTGCAGATTTAAGGATGAAGATATGTAGCTGCGGTTACCTTCTTTGATTTGCAATGACGCTTATGAGGGAGGTGTATCTGGGAAGTAGCTGCCAGGCTCACACAGTCAGCAAAGGAAAGTGGCTTGCGTGTCAATGCCCCCTGGCGCTGCCTCCCTGACCGGCTTTAGGATCGCTGGGTTTGGTGAACTCAGCAACAATAATTCTGGCTCTGGTTTCCCCCAGGCTTTTCATGAGGGTTTTGTCTGTGTGTTTCAGAGCTCTGGGAAGTTAGAGAAAGCTGAGATCCTGGAAATGACTGTTCAGTATCTGCGAGCCTTGCATTCTGCAGATTTCCCCCGTGGCAGGGAAAAGGGTAGGTACAACGCTTAGCGTCTTGGTGCCCGTAGTGATCCGTGCACGTTTTGGCACACAGGAAAAAATCCCACGGCTGGGTCTGCAAGCACTCCAGGAACATCCTACCCTTTCATAGTGTAAATCATATTAGCTGGAACCAGAACTGCTGAGGAGTGGGTGGGTGGATAATTCAATAATCTGCGTACTGGTTTAACTGGGCTGTGTTAACATTCAGTGGCTACAAGTGCAGGTCTCAGTATCTCCAAAACTCAGAGAGACACTGTGGAATGTTTAAAACTCCCTTTGGCAAAAAGCAGCGAGGTCGGGATCTGACCCGTTATCCTGTTCCGTTTCTTTCCAGCAGAGCTTCTAGCTGAGTTCGCCAACTATTTTCACTATGGATACCATGAGTGTATGAAGAACCTAGTCCATTACCTGACCACAGTGGAACGGATGGAGACCAAAGACACCAAATATGCTCGGATCCTGGCTTTCCTGCAGTCCAAAGCTCGCTTTGTCACCGAACCCATCTTCACCACTCTGGGATCGCTCTCAGAACCGGACTTCTCCTACCAGCTTCACTCAGCTCCGGAGTGCCCGGCTCACAGTCCCAATGAGCCTATGTTTCAGCAGGGATCCGGGGGGCCCTTTTCCTGGCATGGTCCTGCCAGAAGCCCCACCATCCCTTACCTGCCCAACGCAGCCATGCCCCTCCCTAACCCGGGGCAGCAACGCAACACTTTCCTGTCGTCAGGCCAGGGGCTGGACAGACACTATCTCAGCCTGATCGGCCATTCCCACCCCAGCACCTTCAGCCTGCCTCCCGGCCAGCATCCCCACTCTGTGCTATAGCGACTAGGCCTGCGGGCTGCATATTTATGTCGGGGGAAGAGTAAATTATCCACAGGCGCATACGTTTACTTCGTAAGCGCTAGTGTACAAATGTAAATACATATGATTGGGAAGTTATAGCTTGGAATAAATGATCACTGGGAAAGGGGTTAAGGATGTTTCCAGCGTGAGATGCTTTTGCGATGCGTTATTTATCCAGCCTGCTAGCTTGTCCTTGCACGCTTCGGTTCTATGTTCTGGGCACAAACCACGTACAGCGCTTGGAATAAATGTGATACAAACTCTCTGGTCTGGTTTCCCAGCGGCACTTCATTGGTAGAGGGGAAAAAATAAAACCAGCGGAAAGGGCTGTGACAAAGGGTTGGGGAGCCGCGTGTCTCCAAGCGCTGGGTCTAGCGCCCCCGGTGCGCTCTGGCGGGAGAGTGTTTCTGGTGTGCCGCGTAACTCGGCGGAGCTAACACTTTGCCTGTGGGCACGGCGGAGGAGGGAGGCAAACATTGCGCTGTTTCGGTGTTCAGGTAAACCTCAGCTCACCGCACACTCTTTAAAATACAGTCGCCTTGGTGCGTCTCCCAAGAGCTCTCTGATTTATCAAGCATCGATATCGCCCGTGAAGACATATTCAGAAAAGTAGCTTCGAAGTTGTGTGTGTATATACATAGAAGTTTTTAAGGTCAGGCTTGACAAAGCCCTGGCTGGGATGATTTAATTGGGGATGGGTCCTGCTTTTGAGCAGGGGGTTGGACTAGGTGACCTCCTGAGGTCCCTTCCAACCCTGATATTCTATGATCCTATGATTCTATGTGTTTATATAGAATTATAGACGGTCTGTGTATACACCTGATCCCGAGAGACAGTGAGAGGGGCCAGTTCATGCTTGTCTCACAAACACCCCTGTATGTAAATCCATGCTGATCTTACATAGTTAGAGTTACAATACAGCAGGATCAAGGCCGCAACCGAAACCCTTGTAGTAGCAATGATGAGGATTCCTTGAGGCGAGCTGATAGACAGGAAGGAACCAGCCTATCCATTTTCCCCGAGCTGTACGGGTGGCCTGACTCCCACCTTAAGCAGAAAAGGAAACCTTTTTTTGTTGAAGTGGAAAGGAATATTATACCTTCTGTCTTATTCTGGAATTTCCTTGTGGCCATTTATCTCCCTAGGAGGAAAATAACAGGAAAAGATGTGGCCTAAGGAACAAAGTGAGATTAGGCTCTGTAGCACTTGGCCTATCACAGACAGTAGTTTAACAGGTGGGAAAAAAGAAAAGAAGGACTTGTGGCACCTTGGAGACTCACCAATTTATTCCAGCATAAGCTTTCCTGATCCGATGAAGTGAGCTGTAGCTCAGGAAAGCTTATGCTCAAATAAATTGGTGAGTCTCCAAGGTGCCACAAGTCCTCCTTTTCTTTTTGCGAATACAGAGTAACATGGCTGCTACTCTGAAAGGTGGGAAAAAGCACACAGAAAAAAACCTCAGGAGCCGACCCTTTAACATTGTCCCACAGACTCTGACTTGTATAGTGGCCAACGTCAGATATTTTCTCATTACAGTCTTCCATAAAATCGCCATTTCCCCGCGTCTGAGCTGAGTTCCCTGTTCAATATCAGGCGTGTTTTGAGGTGCTGCTGTGAGCGCTCAGTGACACTGCAAAGAGATGCGCTTCCTCAGTGACGGGGATTTCTATGGAGCTCAGTTTTCGTGACAGAAGCCTCAAACCAAACGAAAAACAGGAGGCGTGGAGAGGCAAATAAGCCTCTCAGCATAAGGAGCAAATCTAAGGGGTTTAATGTCTAGAAAGGCAACCTTGGCATGCAGGCAAACAAGAGCTTAGCTAATATTCCTTTCCCCAGCCATGCCTTCCCTTTGAGCTCGTAGGAAATTTCAGCAGTTTCAATTCTCCTCCCTAGGCTGGATCACTGAATAAGACCCAATCTCGTCTGTGCTATGTCAGCAAATGGTTTCCTACATGTGATTCCCGATGCTAGTTATTACTATTTTTGCCTGTGGTTTGCACTCCCCGATCCGTTGACGAAGAGTAAATTAACTTATTCCATTGCACTCTGCACCCTTGAGGGAGATCTGACCCGGATTGTTTACTGAGGTCATGGAATGGGCTGACCCACAATTTGTAAACCATCAACTCCTTTATTCATAGACAGACTAAAGGATCTTCATTACAATGAGTGAAAAGTGTCATGTGTACCTTCCATTTAAACTGTAAATACAGAAAAGCCTCGTGTTTCAGTTTGACAAGAAAGAGGCCGTATTATAGGGTAAAGGGAGGAGAAAAAAATTTCTATTGCATCAGGATACATTTGAGACCTTAAATCCGAGCGAGGAAAGCAGGAAAATACCACTTGCTAAATGTACGTAGGGCGATATGGGATAAACCAAATGTATTCAGCAGCAGAAGAATGGCTGGTGCCTATTATGAAAACACATGTCTTACACTCATTTTCACCAGCGCTTGGTGCAGAAAATGAAGCAAGTCTTTCACGATTTTTATTCTGTGAGCATTAAGCCATTCTGAATCCTCTTTTGCACTGAAGCATTAAAGATATAGTGTTACCCTGGAAATATAAATTATTAATATATGCAGCATTTTGGTCACTGTTAACCAAATTAGACAAAAACTTTCCTTTGCTAAGTAGATTTCCTCTCTGGGATTAGCACAGGGCCACCACGGTCAAAACTGTGGTCATTTACATATAGTTTTGCAAACTTGCACTGGTCCATGACAGTCTTTGTACCTCGAATGTTGCTATTCTCGATTTATTTATTTATTTATTTTGTCCTTCTCGTTTTCATTTAACTGTGGAGGATAAATCCTGCTTTGGATTGCCAATGAATTTAGGATAAAAGTCTCCCCCGCCTTCCCCCACCCCCTCCGTGTCTATCGCTCTCTGGAACCTCTCCCCGGCTCCCCAATCTTGGCCAAAAGTCGAATCTGAGCTGGTTTGACTTCCCATAAGATGAATAATGGCAGCTCGCCCCAAGGAGGGAACTGACGCCAACCAGACTGGGAGCTAAAGGTGTTTTGCCCTCGCCCACAATGCCTGGCTTCAGGGGCCCTCTTTCCCCGCGCGCTCCCTTTAAGTGAGTTGTACTGTTTCCAAGAGAGCCCCCAACAAAACCCAGCCGAAGCTCGTGGTGATGTGTGCTGGAGGTGACCCATTGTGGAGCCGCTGAAAGGGACAATCTCTTATTTCTTGGGTTTCATCCTTGAGTGGGCAGGCATAAAAATCATCAGCGCCATGAAATCAAAGGGTCTCTCCATAGGAGGGGGGAACAAAGCTCCCCGAGGGAGCTGGGGCTCCGTCTCCTTGACTCTGCCTTGGCCGGCGGAGGAGTCCCCAGGCCGCCTGGTTTGAGCGCCGGGCAGCCTCCTTAATACAGAGGTCACTTGTGCTTTCAAGCGTCATTGAGCAAACAGAGCCCCGTGTTCCCTCCCCGCCTGCGCGCCCAGCGGCTCGCCAGCCCGCACCTGCCCCGGCCGGCGCCCCCAGCGGGGAGGAAGGCCGGCCAGGAGCCGCAGCGCCCGTGGCAGCTGCAAGCGGGGCCCAGGAGCCGCAGGAGACGATGGGCAGAGCGGATCCCCCCCGGGGGAGACCCTGGGCAAAGAGCGCGGACCAGCAGAAGGCGCGCGCACAGTGCGGCAGCCGCGGTGGCTGCCACAAGCTGGTAGCCCGTCCCCGGGCTGAGCTGACATTAACCGGGTCCTGGGAAGGCCAGATAGCTCCCGTTCCACCTGTGGCCAAAACTGGGGGCTCTGGGGAACGGTTTCAGGAAGATCCACTAACTCAGCCCCCAGCGTGCGCTGAGGATTTTCAATCAGTTAGGATAAGGACAAGTTTGTGAAGTGCCTTCTGCTGCACACACACTGCACCAGACACACTCCTCCTGGCACACTCACAGGCAAGGCCCTACACTGACACACACATTCCCATGACACATGGAGGCCGCACAGACACACAGGCTCCAACACGCAGAGTTGTCTCATAAAACACCACACACACCCTCTTCCAGCACAAACACAAATGCTACCCAGACCCACATATTCCTGGGATACACAGCAGTGCAACGCGGATACACAGTTCTCCCAGCACACACAGACACACACAATCCCATGGCATACATACAGACACCCCTTAGACGCACACATTTCCCTGGCACACACAAAGACACACACAGACAGTCCTAGACACACGTTCCTTTAGCACACACACAGCCACAACCACGCTCACCCAGAGCACCTTGACATCTCCCCACTTAGGCTTCCTCTTGTAGGAGACCATGCAGCAGCGGGTCCTCTAATGATGCGATGTCTCTCTCTCTAGCTATCTAAATCAGTAAATGGCCGGTATCACTGTAATATCCGCGTGCCTTATGACCATTAATGATGTATCCACACAACCCCCTATGAATGAGGGAAGTGCTATCTGCAGCATATAGGGGGGAAACTGAGCCACAGAGAGGTTGAATGACTTGCCGAAAGTTCGCAGAAAGTTTGTGAAAACCCCCAAAATTGAACCCGTATTTTTTGAGTCTCACACCAATGCCTTAGCCACAAGACACATTCCCCATCTTTAAAGCAAATGTTCATGAAGGATCAGCTACCAATTGGTACTAATACAGTAACAATGTAGCACTCTCTATTTTATACATTCAGAAGCAGGTATTATATTGTGATCCCCTGCAGTAATGTCAAATGTTACACAGAGAGAGCAAATCACTGACTCCACATGGAAACAATATGAGTGAGATACCCTCCCTCACATACATACTGCCCTTCCCTCTCTCAGGAAATTATCACACTGCTGATGGTGTTTTGCTGTTCTATAGAGCTCTCTCTCCCATAGTGTTTGGCAATGATACAATAGTTCACAGATCACTGCCCCTCTTTACTTCCCTGCTGAGGTATAAATATTTTGGCGGGGCCCCAGTCATTTTCATCTGTGTTTCTGGATAGCTTCACACTAAGAGGGGAGGCTCTGGACATTTCTTAGTACTACTGTGAGGAACATGGGTGCATTTTCCTGTAGACTACGTTGAAGCATATAGGAGCTGGATTATATCTTTCACAAATGGCCAGCCCAAGTCAGCAGCATACTGAGGACATAACTAGGGAATGTTCACTGTCAAGCTGATATTCTTGTTTGTTAATGTTGGCTTTGGGACCGGGGCGGATGTAGCCTCCCAATTCAATGCGTGCCCAGACAGACACAGGCAGACATGCAGAGCAGACATGGTGACAGATGGATGGACATGCAGATCCTGTAGCTCTACGGCTCCCAGGACTCAGAGGGCATCTCAGCCTCACCATACCCCTCCTGGGCATATCCCAAAAATGCAGGGGAGGGGGATGTGGTCCAGTGAGGGGCCAAGGCGCAGCCTCAGCACAGGACTGGCTCTGTTCTGTGTGGCCACCCCACAGCCACCCACTTGCAGTGGCAAGAAAGACCTCACCTGGGACATGGTGGGGGAAGCAGCTCTGCTCAGCATCCAGACCTGGCTGCTCAGAGCAGGAAGAAGCCCTACCATGAGTCCAGCACCCATCACCCTCCAGTCTCTGCTGTCTGGAGACCAAGCCAGGTTGGGGGATCGCCTCCTTTCCAGCCCACAACCCAACCCCCTAGGACTCCCTCTGTCAGATACTGCCCTTCAGGCCCCTGCAGCAGTGTGCTTCTTTGACACTGACTGTGCAGCAACATGACCGGGAACCGTGCAACCACATTTTGTAGGTGGAATTGCACACAGGGTGTTTTGGCACCCTTGGTTTCATTATTTCTGTGGGTGTAGCTAAACCCATGAACCCCTGCTAAAGCTGCCCCTGCACTAGGACAATGCTGGCAGTTGTACATATGTGCAGACACAACTCAACTTATTACCTTTGTAGATGAAGCTGTTTTGCAGCAGTTCATATATGTAAGAAGAGGAATATTTTTTCCTGAAAGACATTGCTTTTATTTTCACAAATTTCAAAACAGTAGAATCTGCATTAGTCATTTGCTGGGCTAAAAATTACCTTGAATTTGCCTCAATCATTGTACTCACCTTTCCCTCAGCTAGCAGCATCTCACTTCCCAGCCCTTGAGGTCTTCCTCTCTTGTCTTCTCATGTTCCTACCTCCCTTCCCTCAAAACCCCATTCCTTTTCTGAACCCTCTGGGCCTATTAGCTCAATCCTTCCTAAGTTCCCCTCTCTTCACTCCAGCCTCACTTTACCTTTGGAGACAGCAGTTATATCTCATCAGCTTGGACCATCCCTTCCCACATCAGTGGATGTACAGACCAAAAGTGCATTTTATGAATAGTGGCTGACAAAATGTGCTTTGACAGTTCTGTAACTGGTGTGCATTCTTGTTGATTCTTTATTCAAGCAGAGAAGAGACAAGGATTATTTTAGTGTCATTTAACACAAAACAATCCCTAATTTATTTATATTATAGTGGTGGCTAGAACCCCTAACTAAGTTGCAGGCTAGCAACCTAGCCACTAGACCACCCTTCTTCTCCTGCTATCCCACTCTCTGAGATAGGCAACTAGAGATTATTCAGATGTTATAGTGATGAGTGCCTCAAACATACCTACACTTAAATTAGATAGAGTGATCCCAGCACAGGAGGAAGAGGCCAAGTACTTCTTTGTGACTACCCAGGAAGAGTCTGCACTATATACATAGACTCTTGGAGACTGAAATATACTTCGTTGGCCTCTCCTCCAGAAGGCAGGGTGCTGGATACAGACTTTTTGGTGGACAACTTCGCTATTCATAGGATAGTGGCTTCAGATCTCAGTGTCCAAATCCTGCTTGTCTGGTTCAAGCGGGGATGGATTTCTTCCCTGGTTCGAGTCGTGATGTATTTCGTCCCTAACTTTTGTCCACCTCTATAAACTGACCTTACAGAACTGGTAAGAGAATCAAGACCTAAGGCTGTCTCAGAAACAACACTCCTGCCCCCTTTTTATTAGATAACATGTAACAATGGCAAAATGTACCAGATGTATTTTCACAGTCACATGGGTAAAGTAAAGTATGGCATACGGCATAGCACATGTTGACCTACACGCCACCCTGTACACATTAGCATGGCATGTAATGAATGGACTGAGAGAGTGATAGGAACTTTCAGTTTCATCCAGTTGCTATGTAAAAAAAAGAGACTTTTATTTGGAAAGTTCAATGTGACTGAGACCGAAAATGTTAAATCCAGGTTCATTTTGAAAGTAAACCCTGTAATGCTAATTTTGAAATAACAGCAATACAAAATCTTTAAACATGCATGATATTTCATCACCTCTATTAAGATTAGTGCAGTTAGATTAACAATAAATGCTTTTTTGTTAACAGAAATGTGTATTTTTTGCTCGTTCAATGAAAAGTTGGAAGGTAACTTCATTATTAATTACTGTAACAATATAAAAGCTTACACTGCAGTTCTAATTCACACTAGGTACAGAAAAGCAGACATCATCCTGCAGGTGCTTCACACAAATTCAGGGACCTCAGTGATGAATCAGGGCCTTAACTCAACAAATATCCTCAGCTGGTGTAAATTGTCACAGCTCCATTGATTTTAATAGAGCTATGACAATTACACCAGTTGAGGATCTGCCCCATGGTGTGTAATCAGAGTTAGACCTTCTCACTTTATTGTAAAAATATTTTTTTAAACTGCTTCTTACTCCCGTTGGCACTGCAGAGTCATCCCAACTGCTGGGGAATGAGCTGGTTTTTCTTCCTGCTCACACTAGGGCCAAAACTCATTTATAGCTGTGCAATCCCACCAAGGTAAATTAGATAGTACAAGCCCATTGGACACAATAGGGTTATACCGGTATAGCTGAGGGTAGGTTTGACGTACACTATGAGATAGCAAGCAGGGAAAAGAATTTGGAAAAGGAGCTACAGCACAAATTAATCTTTTCCTGTATGATTCCCAGAATACACAGACAGCAAAGATCCTGCAAAACCAACAAAACCAACGCATCACAGGATAATAATGAACATTTTTATTTATGATGGATTTCAAGTGAGTAGCTGCAGGGGAAGAGTGTGTCCAAAGCAAACCAAAAAGGTCTCCTCACCCATGGCAATACCTTTGCATAGACATGCCTGGCCAGATCCTCAGCTAATGTAAATCAGCAAAGCTTCACTGAAATCAGTGGAACTGTATTTATATACATAAGAAGTCTCTTTAGTGGAATTACACCAGCAGTGAATTTGGTCCTATGTACTGAGTGGACAAATGACACATATTTAAGTGAGTCCAGATATTTATTTAACCAAACCAACTATGCATTTACATAATTATGAAAATGTATTTGTACTACAAAAAGAAACAGATAAATAACATGGGTCTAAACATACAGCTGCTTTGAGCAGGGAAGGTTCAGTGAAGTCATGTGCAGAGCTGCTGCAGAATTGGGTCCTCTGCCTGTTGTACTTTGTGGAGAAACTATGTTTGTAAGAAAAAAGAAAAGACAACTAAGCAAGAAAATGTGTGTTTATATTAAGGGCCAAATTCTGGCTAACACATACAAAGGACCTGATCCAACTCCCAGTGATATCAAAGGGACTCTTTCCCATTGTCATTGCATCCTACACAGCAAAAATCCATGCATTACCTTCACTGAAAGTTTTATTTTCTTAAAAATTAGCATCTCTCTAAGCTGCATCCTTCCCTCTGCTTTTCAGAATGTTAGTTTTCTTAGTAACAGCTTGAATTACATTTTAAATATAGTACAGTATTTAATACTCAGCTTCATTCTCTGCTCTCACAGTTTTTATTATCCCCCTACAAAACAACTGGTAATACAGTGGGCAACTCATGAGTAGCCAAAAGACACAAAGCAGTGATGCACACTACAAAGAGAAGCAAATGACTTAGCCGGGAGCATGCAGACACCATTCTTCCGCTTCTACTCACAAGAATATTCTACATTATTTTATTGTGGGTTTGCAGTAGATTTTTTGGCTGTACGTGGTTGGCCTTTTTTGCAAGTTTCTTCCAAAAAGGACTTGTAATCAATTTGCCCACCCAGGTTGGGATCAAACTTAGATAAAATGTGGTAAACCTCATCTTCATCTAGCAGAAGTTTACAGAGCTTCAGGACAGATCTGAATTCTGGCAAAGAGAGGTAGCCATTGCTGTAAATATCCAGCTTCTTAAAAGCTCTTAGAAGGGTCTTCCAGTCCCCTCGTAACTACAGCCAGAAAGAAAACAATTGGGATGTTGAATTACCACAGTGAAATAACAACTAAACCATTACGTACTGTGAGGCACAATGTCCCTCTTAATATTTCATCTGAACTAACAAATTGTGAGGTATGCAGTAGCATGCTTTGTTGTACGTACCTGCACACTCACACAGGTCAGCACACAGGAAAGGTTCACATAATATAATTTGCACTTTGATAGCTTTCTTTCCCCCAAGGGCCTCAAATTGCTTTACAAACATTTAGGCTTCTAACTATGGGCATAGAAGCATAACTTCAGGCAGCCATTTTTGAAAATTTTTGCTTTAATAAGTGGCCCCATTTTCAAAAATCTAACTGAGGTCAGTGGCAATTTGACAGATCAGGTCACTTATGTAGACACCCAATATGGATTTATGAGTCTAACTTTAGGGACCCAAGTTTGAAAATCTTGGCCTCCAGGCTCAGCTGTGACTGGCTCTCATAAGAGCACAATGGTGGGGGGAAAGTGAACAGCGCCAAGGAGACTTCCCCCGCTTTTCCCCCTGAACGTGGGCTAGGCACAATTCCTGAAAAATGTTTTATTGGTTGGCCTTTATTGGAGATGTAACTCATCCTGTCCCTTCCATAACTCATCCTTGTGGTATTTTCTTTCAAGGATTCTTCCTTATCATCATTTCATTCTTGACAAGTGGAAGTTCCTGAAGCTGTCATACAGGATCTCAACATCATACCACAAGAAAAAATATGCTCCGTACTTGGATAATAGTGGCATGATCTCAAACACTGCGGGGGGTCTGCCTAAAAGTAAAGTATTATGTATGCACTGGCACAGGTTATCTGTGTTTGCCTACTAAGTATTCTAATTCATCTACCGCAGATATTTCAAAGGTACCACCAATGTCCAAGGTAAAACATAAAGTGCAACATCAAATCGAGACGAGTGTAGTACAGCTCCTACTGACTCAGCCAAAGTAAAGCTCCTACTTCATCTCATTTGATAAAGCCGCTGTCCATGGACAATAAGGATCCGCCTCATTTGTAAACACATGCAGACTGCAGACATAGCAAGTTCTGCCACTGAGCAGAGAACTTTGATGATTGTTCTAGTGTCTGGCTACCAGCTGGCAGATAAAGCCAGTACATTATGAGTATGTTCTAGCACAGTTGATCACTGGACTTTTATATTCGATAGCTAAGCAATTTAAAATGGACAAGAATTCACATTTAAAAGTAAAGCCACAAGCCATGACAGCCATCATACCTTTTTTTGTAGTCTGGTTGTCAGACCACCCAGCTCTGCAGTCTGCCTTCCCGTGTGGGATTGATCTATCTCACCCTGAGATGCCTGCATAACAGCAGCCATGTTATTCCCATTCTTCCATCTTTGTCTACTTAAAGCAAAGGGCTTCAGAAACTCCAGGTATGAAACACTTAAAGAAAAAATATGTTCATAAGTTTCTACAAAACTACCTGCATGGTATCTTAATTCATCTTCTCCATTTGAATAGTGTTCCAAATTTTCTATCATCCTCAAAATCTGTGTACTTAAATCTTGTGTATGTGACCACTTCCATGCATAATCTCCATATGTGCCCATGCAAATCAAGTAGTTGGACATCTAGCCACCTATTCTGCATAACTAAGCATGCAATTCTGTGGCTGCAGATATAAAGTCCATCTTGTAAATGTGTTCCTTACAGTCCAATGTTACATCTGCTTATATTATTATTATATTTTATTTTAACAGGACCCAAAATGTGAAGAGGCTCCATCCAATACAGAAAAAGGACATCTCTACCCAGCAGAACTTACAAATTCATTTCAGACAAGATTCAATGACGGGTAAGAAGAGAATAAGGAAGGAAAGGAGAGGAAAGTCAGGGGCAACGTTATTAAGATGAAGCAGTTATTCTGCAAAAGTTAGTGCACAACATGGTGAAGCAAGTAATACTTTAAAGTGGGACACGTGGAGAGAATTAAGGAGTAGGCTAACTACCTGGCAAATTTCTTGCAAGCATCATGAAAGAAGTGGGTTTTCAAGAAGGATGTAAAAAAGGAGAGGGCAGTGGCTGTGCAGACCAGATCCAGAAGGGCGTTCCATAAGTGAAAGAAAGCCTGGAGACAGTTCTGGGAGAAGCAGACAAAAAGGGTGGTAAGGTTGGCAATATTGGCGAAGTGAAGCTTAGATGAGGGGGAGCGCAACACACACAAAGATGAGGTCAGATATACAGTGAGGGGTAGAAGCATGTCGAGTAAAGAGTTGCTCCTTGAGGATGGAGAAACCAGGACATTCTTGTCCTGTGCAGGGAAGGAAATAAAGGAGAGTGTGAGGTAAAGACAGAAGGAAATGGTTTAGAAAAAACCCTAGAGTGAAATCCTAGCTCCACTGAAGTCTGTGGGAGTTTTGCCATTAACTTCAATGGAGCAAGGATTGTTACCCCTAACTTTTAAAAAAGCATACAGCCTGTCACTGTCTAGCCCACAGCTAATATCATTTATTTACTCACTTATGACCTTATATTATGTCATTGTTTATATTCAGTGCAAAACCCAAAAACAATGAAACTTGAGGTTCTGATTTTAAACACACGGAATCCCCAGAAGTCAGGCATGAAATTGCATTTATGTTAGACTTCTCAATGTTATGTGATTAAGTAATGAAACACATTATATTATATTATTATTATTATTATAACACATATTATTTGATGTGAATTCTCTGGAAATCAGGTCATCTTGCAGATTTTACTGTTGGTTTTTTTCAGCTTTTTTTTCCCTAAGCTTATGTTTATATATAGAAAATTAAGTTACTAGTTATGGTCACAGCCAGAAGAACAAGGAGAATGTAAACCAATGTGTGTTGCTGAGTCTGCTGTCAGAGTTTGAAATAATACTAGGCCAAGTCTACATTAAAATCTTTTGCCAGTATAGCAATGTGTTAATTTTTTACAGCATTACTATGCTGGCAAAAGCCCTACCGTAGATGTGCTTATACCAGCATAAAAGTGCTTTTGCAGGTACAGCTCACTTTCCTCAGGGAGCTGGTATAAACTATACCAGCAAAAGCACTTTTTTTGCCAGCATAAGCTTCATCTGCAATAGGTGGGTTTGCCAGTATAGTTATACCCGAAGGGCTAGACCAGGAAACCTTTTCTAGTGTAATCTAGGTTTTAAAAAAATATGAACTTCCCACATCACTGTTACGGAATGTTGTCCCTGAAACATCACTGAGAGGAACAGTGATTCTTTGCACACAGGGAATTTGAATTTTTATACTAATACAAAGGCAGAATTTTATTTTGTACCTGGAGGAGGGGAAATATGGGTTAGAAATTCAGATTATCAGGCTTATTTTATTAAAGTCAAAGCTCATATTAGCTCTAATTTTAAGACTACAGTAGGCCTTGGTTTGGAGGTTCATTATCTTTCTCATTCAGAGGGATGCATTTGAAAGGTAAGGCTGCCATGTGACAGGTGGGTCGCAAAAACTTTACTTCGGAAAATAATTATTTGTTAGTTTTAAAAAGGTCATTGTGAATGGTTTGGACGCATTTTGCTGCTCACAAACACACTGCACTAATAGCTTTGTCAAGAGCTCAGCCACTACACAGATAGTAAATTTTCACATCACCTGCACTAACACAACTCTTCCAGTGACTTGCTAAACCCATTCTATTCCAGACCTGATTTTCTTTTGAGCAGAGACTTGCAAATTCAGTGACACTGTGAGTCTTAATTTTTGTGATTTGGACAAAATGTCCAGCTGAACAAAGGCTAGAACAGGAAAATCAAATGAACTAAGCAAGAATTTGAAAAAACATGCATTAACCTATTGTGCCACTTACAGTATCTAACACTCACTATTGTTTGTTCAGTGTTATAGACTTCCATTTAGATACCATATAAACGTTTATAGACCAACTTACTTTAACTCTTTTTCCAAGTTTAACTTACCATCCATCTCCATTGCTTTCAAATTTCTGTCCCAGCATTTCACATTCATACTCATTAAGATGCACACAGAGCTCAGTCAAAATATCTTTAAATTCCTCCTTGCTTACAAAGCCTGTATGGTAGGGGTCTAGGTCTTCAAACTCTTTCTTTAGATCATCCCACAAATACTCCACCTACAAAAAACAAACCACATAAAATCCTGTAGCGTTTAGGATCTACACCCAATCCTCTGACTAACACTGCAGTGTATACTCCTCATGCAGTAACCAGAATGCAGCATTCCTGCTCTAATCCTCCTGCATCTAGAGGTTTATTTTTTTCTAAAGAAATGGGTGGGACAAATTCTGGAGTTATAGAGTCAATAGGACAGATTTTCTGCTTTTAGTGACAACTTTTAGTTTAGCACATCCAGAAAACTGCATTAACCTCTGTAGGGTTACTTTAGATTTACCAGTGAGGGTAGTCGATAGGTCTTTTGTCCTCGGAGAGAGAGGGGAAACTGCCTTTCTCTAGCATGCGAAGATTGTTCCAGTGGACTGAGTGGAGGAAATCAATTTGTGATTCACAGGCCACGAAGGTGGTTCAGCAATGTGCTGTGGGGCACAGAGAGCATGACAAGGCACGGAAGGTGTCCCGGTCACCCACTGCAGTTAAGGAAGACCCCAGCCGTCACGATTCTTCATGCAATTGGAATCTGGTTTCCACAGCCGAGAGAGTGGGACTGCCCCTGTGCAACGGCTGTCTCACTTAAAAATTTCCTGCACAGGCTTTCTCACAACTCTCATCCCATTAACATCTTATCAAATCTCATCATCATCATTAGTGACTGGAGAGGTGTGATAGGACGATATGGAGTGGGAAAGATGAATATCAATGGACTCCTCTTCTTGTGTAAATGTGCAGAACACAGTCTGCTCATCACTAACACCATCTTTAGGTAAAATGATAAATATAAAATGACATGGATGCACCCAGGGTCCAAACAATTGCACCTGATTGACGATGTTATCACCCGCCAACGAGACATCCACAATCTCTGTCAGTGGCATGCATGAGAATAAGATTTGTTCCCGTGACATTTCTGTGGTTAGCAAACCTACAAATCTAATATTTAAAAGTGAGATCTTCATCTGAACTTGATGGGTGAAGGCCAGATTCTGCTCTTAGTTACACCTGTGTTTTTGTTCTCTCCTTGGGAAAAAAACATGACTGTAAAGTGTTGTAAAGTTAAATTTAATTTGAGAGATATATATAGCAAGAGGACAAAAACGACAGAGCTGTCATCCAGCCATTCCAGGCATGAAGTGCTCATGGTCAATTTCTTAACCAAATCATCCTTTCAGTGGGAATGAAAAAGCAGGGAGTTCTGAAAACTGAGCTTCAACACAACAGAGTTTCCAACTGATATGCCCTCTGGCTGGAGAGACATGATAACAATTATCAGGACAGCACTTTCTTTTTAAATTCAGTGTGGAGGGCCAGGGCAAACCCGTGGATCTGCAGGGGAAAGGTGAAAGGCAAAAAAGGGAGGGTACCCCTCCAGCCTCACCTATATGACAGCTCAGTGCCTACAGGTGCCAGGCTGTAACATGATCCCAGTCAGCTCCAACCCCCTATTAAGCGTATTCATTTGTTTCACAACATGAAGGGGGTATTCAAGGAAGGCAGTGGTAACAGGGCCATCAACACCCTGTCTGCGGTTTATGAAAGACGATGCAGAGTATGGCCATCTTGCTCGTCTGGCATTTACCACACCCACCATGAGTGCAAAGTTAAAAAAATACATGTGAATGCAAATTCCACATTTCAGTGTGTGGACGAAATGATATGGAATCTTTGTGGCCTCAACCATCCCATTCATATTGCTGATTTACTCTGGATGGTACTTGTATGATTTCCAGCCCTCCTCCATAGCAAGAAAGACCAGGTAACTTGGGTCTTTGGTCCCACAGTACTATGGCACTAAGAGATAGTGTGAATGGGCAGTCTTCACCCCAGTCCCAACACATACACCCTAGAGTAGTATCCAACACTCAATCCCAGTTTTACCCCTCCATTCCTGGATTTTCTTTATTCTTAACTTAAATACATACAAACTATAGCCCGAGCTTCCTCCTGAGTTGGCTGTTTCTAGGGTTTGACCTGGCAAGGCCTCTTGTCCCACAACTTAGCTCCCCTCTTGCCTTGGAGACTGTCCACCTTGTGTTTTCCTAAATTAAAGGTAATGAAACCTATCTGGTCTGGCTGCCAGCATGAGCCAGCACAGCAGCTCTTCATTTCCATGCAGGGACCTGAAACCTGACTTCCCATCACAAATAGATACTGTGCACACAGACACAATCCATTTGCAACCTGTCCCACACAAATATCTTGTTTCCTTTTATTAGAAAAAAAATTTCTGGGCTGTGCTTTCTTTTAAACACACCATCATTTTGTTTGGTTGTTGGGTAGTGTTAATTTTATACATTTTTCTCCGTACACATAACAAAACTCAACATCATGCATTTCAAAGAAAAAAGTTTGCAGATTTCTGATCATGCACTAGATGCCTACTTTGGAATTTAAGTAACAACTTACCAATTTTATTTATATTTTAGGAATAATGTAACTACACACACTTCTGGAATTTAGTCACAACTGGTATTACTTCTTTTAACTGGAATAGCTTACTTTTGCTCGCACCCTGTCCACCAGTATATCAGAATCACAGCTGAGCTTTTTAGAACACAGCCTGAAATTATTGTCCCCTTTTCTGGGTGGACTAATCTTGGCATTGGGGAAACATGAAGAGCTGGGGGAGTATCCAAAATGTCTCACGAACTCCATGAAGTCAAGGGTATTGTCCTGATTTGTAATTAAAGTTTCCCACAGCCTGTGGATTTCACCTCGAGTTATTTCAGGTCGGATGTCAAACCTTGCATCAAAACATTGAAAGAGACAAATGTAATGACAGTAGCAACAATAGTAACAACAACTAGTAAGAGGAAAAGCAGAAAGTTATTCTGTGTACTGGTCAAATCTCAAAGTGCTTACTCAGCAAACTTCCAGTGCGCCATTGGGAGTTTTGCTGAGTAAGGACTTCAGCTATACACAAGAGATAGCAGAATGGTAAAATGATGAAAGATTGTTATTGCTTGCTGGAAAAAGCCCTCTGGGCATAGGTGCTGGTACTAGGGGTGCTGGTTTGAAGTGGTTTCTATTATATAAAGGGTTTACAGTTTGGTTCAGTGGCTCTCAGCACCCCCACTATACACATTGTTCCAGCATCCCTGCCTCCGGGTCAGGTCTTCAGCTGGTGGAAATGAGTGTAACTCCATGGAAGTCACCATCAGCCAAGGATCTAGCCCCAAGTCTTCCCAGAAGCCTCAGAAGCCAGTCTTCTTACCTCTTCAAGAGAAGGTACATAGTCTCCTGAGTGAGGCGCCGGGAGTTCATTTCATCTAAATCTTCAAACTCTTTCTCTATTGCTTGGTAGTGTTTATTTAGCAAGCTTTTAATAATCTTGAACAGCTTGGGGGGAAAAAGGAGAAAGATGTGAAGGTTTATAAACAGTGAGACAACAGTAACACAAACGGCTCCTGGAGTTTTTCTTTCAAACAAGGCGCTCTCTAGTAATTGGTGACTATGGTCTCACAACAGCATGATTTCACTACTCCCTCCAGAGTTCATAGGAATTATGTTATTGGGCAGGATGCAGCCTCAGGACTTTTCCACTGAGCATGGAAACCCAAGTACAATTAAGAGTTACATGAATTTTACAGCTATTCAGCTGGCAAATATCTAAACATCTACACAAATTCCCATTCCAACTGCTTAGCAGCTAGAGAAGGCTGCTATTGAATGGGAAACCTTGGTTTAAGTTGGACTGTGCATTCTGTGCTCCTATATACTTGTTACTTTAGTAACTGCCCCATATCTCCAGTTTTGTTTCTAATTTTCATGTGTAATAACATTTTGATATCCCTTGGAGAGCTCTAGGTAAATTATATCTACAGCTTTCCAGCACTAATTTTTTTCTCTCTCACTCCCTCATTCATTCTATCAAATTAAAATGCCACAGGGCTCAGTCCAGCAAACATTTACATGAGAATTTATTTCCTTCATTTTATTTACGGACTAGTCCCCTCAATTTCAGTATTAGTATTATTTTTCTCTGTATGCTGGCTGGCCATGAGTTCCCATACAGATGACTTGTGCCAGGAGCAACAGTATTACAACCTATGGCCTGATCCTGCAAACACTTACCCCAGTGGTTTTCAACCTTTTTGCATTTGCAGACCATTAAAAATTTTCAAATGGAGGTACAGTCCCCTTTGGAAATCTTATACATAGTCTGCATATGCGCAGAGGTTCATGGACCACAAGTTGAAAACTACTAACTTACCCACATACTTAACTTTATGCATACGAGTTGCTTGATTTTATTCATGAGAATATTCAAAAGTGTTTATAAGATCAGGAGTTAGCAGGGTGCACAGTAGCTGTATCTGGACTACAACCTCTGACATTTCCCCCTACCCGACAACACCATTTCAATGTGCAGAGGAGGTTCTATGGAATGTCTGCTCTTATTATTATTTATATAGTACCATAGATATGTATGGCATTTTACAGGCAAATAAGATGGGGCCTACATTTTGCTCTCATTTGCATGGCTATAAATCCAGGTGTAACACCACTGATTCCAGTGAAATTACTCCAGGATTTATGTCTCTGCCTCTTGAGCACATTTTGTTCCATTAGAAATGGCAGCTCTGTGTAGGGACACGTGCATTCCTGTGTGAGTAACTGAATCTATTGTCACCACCATAAAGACAGAATGGAAGAAACCCTCCCACATGGCCCAGTCTGCAGTGAAACCAGGGAGGACCTAAGGACAAAACACTGGGTTCAGGGCCGGCCCATAACATTTTGGTACCTGAGGCGGGGAGCTCAAATGACGCCCCATGACCCCTTGCTTGGGCTGAAACTCTGGGTCCTAGTGGCTCCCCCCCACAGTCTGGCACCTGAGGTGCCCACCTCAGTTCGCCTCATGGTAAGGCCAGCCCTGACTGGGTTTCACAAACCAAGTGAGAAGGCTAGAATATGCCTCTGAAGTTAGGACAACTAGGACAGGTGGTCCTTGGCTGCCATCCAGAATACAGTTCTTAGCTTTCTTGCAGAATTTTGATCAAGAAGGGGTCAGATCAGGATAAGCATCAGTTAATTACTGACTTCTCGAGGGCCTTTCCAGCCCTATGTTTCTATGATTCTATAAGGTGCTCTCTCTGGAAAAAAACAAAAAAACGGTAGGGTTACAATAACAGGTTGTGTGTGTGTTGCCTGTACCTGCATTGGAGTTCTTCCACAGGTGTATTTCACTTTCTGGTTAGGGATATTTTGTTTCTGTTTCTGCCCATCTTTGTCTTCGTTAGGCTCACACGCAGAATTTGTTACAGATTTTTCATCAAAGAGACTAGGCAACCCTCTGCTGAAAGAGAAGACTGTTAATTTAGCCTGCCTCTTGCCCTATCACCCACTGGTGTCTTACAAGAATAGTTAACCCTAGTGCCCTGCCTGTCCCCTTGTCAATGTGTCAAAATCCAGGAAAATGTCCAACGAGGGGGAGCCAACACAACTATTTCACAATACTACCTGCCTATATGGCTTCATGCTATGATGTTCTTAAAGGGGTAAATATAAGCATTATATTGCTGTATATTTGATTGTATGGTTTTCATGGATAATACAGTTGGCCAAATGCCACTCTGATTTACCCCATGCATAAGCCTGGGAGAGTGCCTCCTACCCCTGCAGGGCACACACGCAGTGTACTTGGAAGGGGTGGCTTGTGCATTATATTCTCCCCAGTGGGAGCTCCAGGAGGTGTTGTGCATTTAGCCTCACACAGCCACTGCTCTTAGCCAAGCATAAGGACTGTATGTGGGCTTAGCTCCTGTACTGGGATCAATGGGGCAGGGTACAATCTAACCAAGACTAGGTGCATTTTCAAAGTGAGGTGCAGGGTTTTAGTCATGCAAATCCCTTTGGCTTTAACAGGAGTTGTGTGACTAAAACTCAGATAAAAAAAGCTTTCAGAAAAATAAATCCCAAAGTGAAAAATGCTGAGAGTCGAGACAGAACCTCCACCAGTGACTGGCAACCCGTCCTGACTTTCTAACTGTGCAATGTCACCTTCACAGAGTGCGTTTCTCAAAATGTGTGTCATTTACCACATAGCAGGCTGTAAAATAGATTTTAAAAACATCAAGATTCTCAAGACAGTTTAGAACACAGAGATATAGGCAACCTACATGGTGGGCACAGCTACACCAGCAGGGTTAAAGGGGAGACAGTCCAAATTCATCCAAGACCTAAAAATCTTGACATACGTAAACCCTACATGCATTAGATAAAGAGGCCAGAAAGAAAGGTGCCCCCTAATGAGTTTTTTTTGCGCTTGGGTGAGCGAAAGGGCTGCTTCAGGAGGCTAATAACTGAAAACCTTCCAGGCTTTTGTCCGGAGAAATGGCAGGCACTTTCCATCCTTTTGAAAAAAAGAAGGCCGTTCGGAGTCTTCACGAGAGATGTGGATTTTAGGGGCGACCTTAGGTCATACAGAACTAATCAAGCGAAAACAATAAGAAAATTAGCCTGACAGTCAGCAAGTATCTGAGGACTTTATCAAAAAGAATTAGGAATGGACAAATTCACTGGGAGCAAAGGATCAAATCTGCAAGGTGGCATTGTGTGCTGGGATTAAATTATTTATTCATTGTTAATTTATTTATTTATGTATGTGCAAATGACTTAGCTGCTGCAGGTGCTGAGGAGTTTCTGAAAAGGCCCAGTTTTAGAGCCAAGGCTAGAATATTGGTCCATTTAACTCATTCTTTTCCTTAAGGCGATCAAACAGTGACTTTTATCTAGGAGATAGAGGAGGAAAAACCATATGTGTACTTGGAACGATGAGGCGTCTGAGCAGCACTAAGCACCCAAGTATTTCAGTCTCATTCAAGAACACCGGGGAGGCGCCATGCAGTTTAATGTCCGGCAAATTAGCAAATGAATGCTTATGTCAATATGTGAAAAATCCCTAGTTGATTTAAACAGATAAAAAGCCTCTTGGGAAATAGCAGAAAATGCAGGTTTTTCTTTTCTCAAAAAAAGAAAGAGAAACAGTACTTAATAAGTTTTACTGAAACTTACAATAGTTGCAGAAAACAACAGTTGTTTACATGGATGCTTTTATATACACATGAAATATTTCCAGTGCTGCCATTAGAAGAAATATAAGAAGCCTTTGCCAGCTGCTCTTCATATCACGTTTACTATTTGGAAGAAAACAGCTACAATCTGTGAAAGTTACAGAGCCAGCTCAGACGCCATCCTTGCTACCCCTCTCTTAAAGGCACAGGACGTCTAAAGTCTTGCAGTAGGTCAGTCTTTATATTCCACCCTGTCTCCTGTAAGATGAGACCTGAAGATGTAATAGATAGGAATCTTATTTTCTCCCAAGTTTAGACTAGTAATAATAAAGGGTGAAAATTGTCATCTCATGTTGCTGTTGACCCAGAAGAGCAAAGTCACAGTGGGGATTCTGTGTAGGACATGACCTTGGGGAAAAAAGGAACACAAGAACTCAGCATGGGGGTTGAAGGCAAGAAGTTATACATATTGAAAACGATAGCATCACATCAGTTAATGCCCTGTGATGGGAAGTCCTGCTGGTTTTGTGTCCTCTAGAGAAATATTTGGAGTTTGACTGTATCTGGTAAGTAAATCTCTTGATTAAATCCCCCAAGGGTTGAAGGTACTAATAAGAGATGGTTCATCACAGCAAATGTCAACAGCTGGTGTCAGAGTTTGTAAAACTGCACTGCTCCATGAGAACTGAAATCTCACCTGAGTTTAAGCAGAGATGCAGGCTTATAAAGAGCGCCAAGGCATACAACACATTTGCCCGCTTCTCTCAAAATATTCCTCATGTTTTGGTCATTCTCAGAGCTTTCACCTTCATCCCAAAATAAATGTCTCTATGTCAACTAAGAGGAATGGATGGTAATTAGGCCACTGAACAGTGTGATATTTTCCCATACTATTAAATATTAAATTTAAGGCTCATGGCCAAAATTTCCAGGACTCACCTGAAAACCTTGGGCACCCAACAGCCCTGCTTATCACTAAAATATTAACTCAACATTTTATTTGAGGGATTGAATTAAATCAGTAAAAATGCCAACAGTCCTATTGCTATTTGTCTTCTGAAACCTTGAAACCTGTAAGACAGCCTTCTGAGATGTTACAATATTATATACGCTGCCAGAGAACCGTGCAGTACTAAATGAACCTGCAGAACCTGTTGGAACTTGAGCCAGATTTTGTGTAATGTGCTTTGCTGTGATAGTGTGTATAGCAGGATAACTGCTTCTCATCCATCAAAATGTATTCTGTTAGAGCCAAATCCTAGCCCTTATTTAATAGTCTTTTGTTACTGAATCTTCCACACATTCAACATACAGACTACAGGATTTAGTCATTAATGAACATTAACAACACTCTGCATTGCATCCTAGGAAACTGTCTTGATGTTACAAAACAAAATCCTACTGAAATCAATGGGGCTTTACGGGCCAACTTTTCAAACATCGGTGCCTGTGTTGCCCCTCCAAAAAAAGTGCTACACCTACTACATGTGCAAAACTTCACATTTCTGCATGGAAAATGCCTGCTGCATGAGCCACAGATGCGCGTGAGTGCTTATGTGTATAACTTTGGCCTCCACGAGAGTTGTAATAATTACGACAAGTCACTAATAACAGGTAAAGTTTATTAACCAGCAATATGAAAAGGAGCTATAATACCTACACAGTAGACACTTTTCAAAGGTAAACAACCCCTGCTATACATTTATTTAGAAGGGTCTATTATACAGAAAGGATTCTCAAGTTTGACCCCAAGCTGCCCGATAGCTTTTAACTCAAACTGCTAGCAAGTTAAACACCAAGTTGCTGAGTCTTAACTGCTATTTTAATCAAAGTCAGCTAATACAGGTAGCTAACCCATGTTAAGAGCACATCTGCAGTTTAGACATACCCTAAAGCTCTGCATAAAATTGGATTAATCACAGAAACAAAATCAGATTCCTACAGCACAGAAGCCTTATCTAGCAAAAGTCAATTTTGAAATCTAATCTCATTTCCTGCTTCTACATGTCATTTATCCACCAGTAGCAAATATGAACACATGGTGACGTTAACTCTGCCAACATCATTAGTATGTTTTGGCTAACGGGTGATGCAATGAAATTATAGGCTTGAATTCTCTGAGCTGGGCTCAACACAGGACAAGAAGGAGATGGGGTTCAAAGGCAGATTTATGCCATCTTTGGAGCTCCCCAATATTGGAGTCAGCCCCTGGCGCAGTATGGAACAAAGGAGTCCCCAGACTTCGGTGGAGTTTTGCCCATTTACACTAGCAAACAGTTTGGACTAAACAGTTCAATAGATGCTTTTCCAGCAATTGCAGATATCAAAGACCCAGTCATAAAGAGATTTTGTAAAATAGTGCTCATGTTCCACAAACATGCTGATGTCAATGAGGTTAGAAATTCTGGGGTGTAAATTTACCAAAGTCCCCCCACCTTTAGCTACTCTTGGCAGGTGTAAACACCAGCACCTATTCACACACACTCCGGAGGCTAACATCTGCCCAATACAAGCTTTAGGATTTCACCCACACAACCCACTAGTCTCAACGTGAAGGAGTACAATAGTAATACAATAGGAATACAATACTCCTTTTCTTTTTGCGAATACAGACTAACACGGCTGTTACTCTGAAACTAGTCTCAATGTGTTTTGCTGGTGACATTCTAATGCATGTGTGGCTGGGTCTCGATACAGTGGGTGTTGATTTAGAGGGTCTAGTGAAGACCAGCTAAATCAACGTCAGAGCGCTCTCCAGTTGACCCCAGTACTCCAGCTCCCCGAAATGAGTAAGGGAAGTAAACCAGAGAGCGTATCCCATCAACGCAGCATAGTAAGACACTGTGGAAAGACAACCTAAGCTACATCGACTCCAGCTATGTTATTCACACAGCTGGAGTAGCGTAACTTAGGTTGACTTACCCCAGTGTCTTCATTGCGCTGCGTTGACGGGGGACGCTCTCCGGTCAATTTCCCTTACTCTTCGGGGAGCTGGAGTATGGGGGTCAACTGGAGAGAGCTCTGCTGTTGATTTAGTGGGTCTCCACTAGACCCACTAAATTGACACCCGCTGCATTGATTGTAGCAGCGTCAATCCCCCCAGTAGTGAAGAGAAGCCCTAAGATTGGGCTCAAAATAGGTGCCCTGTATGGTTCATTACTATTAAACTCAGAATATCCTAGAACTTAATTTTTTGTTTCAATTCTTAATGATCTGTTTCTAGGGCAAGCAGTGTTGCCCAGTGGATAGGACACTGGACTTCGATTCAGGAGACCTGGACCTG